CACAAACTCCACATGCAAACTCATTTTTTTTTGTTCAGAAACTGTGAGTAATATTGAGAAAACGATTTGGCGTAAGTGCCGCTTCAATGCAAAAATGACGTCCCTCCATACAGGTTGCAATATTTCAAATATAAAAATCCTGCTATTTGTCACATGTACACTTGAACCCATATCATTCAAGCTGCTTTTACACGCTTTTGCATTCTCAATATTCAGCATACACACTAGCTTTGTACGTGGTTCGTCAAACACGCCATCAAGCCGTTTAACATACTGAACCTTTTCTTATAGCGTTCGAGGCGCTTTCACTCTTCAAATATGATAATTTTTGTATTGACCTGTTCTGAAGTATTGAACGATTTGCAAATTATTTTCTTTGAAAATTTTTCTTCATATTTATGAAATCACAACAACGTTATATTCAGTTCAACATATGATGTATTTAAGTCCAAGTTTCCATCGATTAAATCAATACCGCCATTCTAAACATCTTCACCTGATTCAGTCTCTGGCAAATTTATCCAATAGTCACGTTTCTCCTCCGGCATCAAGGGCAAAAGCTTTTTAATAATAATATCCTTCTGAGATTTTTGGATTCCATTTGCTTCTCTTGGCGTTGAAGCTGATCAACCAAATTGAATGACGGTTTGGAAACCTCCTTCAGCTGTTTTTTCGTCAGTATCTGTAGTGTTTTCATTTCGTCGTTGTAGTTATAGGAATATTGTATGTCAAAAGAACCTCTGGTAAAGATGACATGTTTGATGTTTGCCATCTTTGGTCGGTCTTTGAGCTTAGTTAGTACAGACTGTTTAAACTGGAATAATCATTCAAAGAAATCCTCCGGTTCCATCACAAAAACTTGTGGCTTAATGTCACTTCCAGATTTTTCCACGCAGTCAACGAAATCAGGGAAACTGTAAACTTCTCCTCGAGGGACACGCTTCATCGTGCGCTCAATCGATGCATGAAATGAATCCGCTGACATATAAGTATGCCCGGGCTCCAGATACTTCAAATTAATTTGATGGGTTTCAATGGCCGGAGAGTTGATAAGCAAGGCCAGCAAGACCATCAAATTCCAGTTCTTATTTTGCGCCGAGCAGTTATCAAGCCACAAAGTGATAACGAACTTGGACCCAAGAGAAGAGAAAAATTTGTAAAAAACACTGGCAATGTGATAAGCTTTTCGTCCTGCAATCACATCGTTCCACAAAAAAGTATAAACGGGACCGTTCCGAGAGCCACCCAGTGGAGCAAAAGTTTCATTGTAAGCAACGATCTTTTTGCAAAAAATGATCTGCTTAAAGGATTCCATTCTTGGAAGCTGAACCACCTGCATTAATATGATGAGTAAGAAATTGGACTCGTAAATTCATATTTATAAGTTACCTTTTGAAGATCGACCGAGAAAACCGATCCGTTCATCGTCACGTTCGACCGATCGCTGTCGTACTCCTCCCGCCCCGAAATTGCCCGTGCGATATGATCCTTCCAATTTAAACACATCTCGCATGCGGTCCGGTTTGTAGAAGATCCTTCTTCTAGCTCGTTGTTGTCTGTTTTAGTAGAGTGTCCAGTTTGATTTTCGTGGATGTGATGGGCATGGCACCGTTCACATTCTTCGTGTCCAAGCTGTGTGAATTTTATGTTCAATGCCTTCAACATTTTGCAATAAAACCCATAACTGCAACTTTCTTCCTTTTCATCCAACTGGCGCTCGTTAAATAGACCGTACATTTTCTGGGCCGAAAGGTCAGACGGCAGATAAAGCGCGTGCGGTGCGTGCTCTCGGCGATAATGCGAGTTTGTCGGTGAGTAACGGAAAATGTCTTGTTTGACGGTATCTTTAAGAGTTTTAGGCCGGGTGTATCTTCCACGTTTCTCTGCTGGTGCTCCATCCTTATGCGCTTGGTCGTGGTATCGATAGATCATGTTGCTAAAGTTAGCATGATTAAAGATTACCTTAATTAGATATTTATTGTTACTAAGAAAATACGAACCTGCTTTTGATATCGTAGCCCAACGTATTCAGGAAGAATGCGCAGCATACATCATGAGGTACTCCTCTTTCGTCTTCAAGTTGGTAATCGTAGGAAAATTGTCTCCGAAAGTTCTGGGTAGTAGGATTCACCTGGCCACGCCGTCGTTTTACAGGGCTACGCTTGCTGAACTGCAAAACGAACGACTTTTGTTCCGTTCCCGACAATCCCCAGAACCATGAATTGATGTCAGATCTTCTGTCACGTCCAATTTTGCCGCAACACACTGCTCTGCATCCACAATCTTTCAAAATGGGCCTCCAGTCAGATAACCTTTTTTCCCGGCGCTCTGTTTTTTTCCGAGGTTCGCTTTGTTGGTGGCCTTGGGCTCGGTGCGGCTGCTACGGCTGGCTGTGGTTGTATATCGTCTGTAATCGCAGTCGGCAGATCCGGATCAATCTCATCTTCCGAGTCAGAACTACCATAGGTCAGCAGTAAATCCAGGGCACCTCTTCCGGACATTTTAATTCTTCCAAATTGAATTCCTTTTCACTATCACTGAATCTAACGAGCTTTGGAGAAAATCTGTCAACGTGACCGTGAATGTTGATACTATTGAGATGAAATAATTAAGCAATAAATCATAAAAGCCCAGCGGCCCACTTCTGACCGTTAATCTTTACCAAATGGACAGATTATTTGAATGAAATTGTTACAAAAACGCGTTTTCCCACCAGTGATGCTGTTGGTGGTTACGCCGACTATAAGATTAGGGACAGGTCAGGCTTTCGAGATAAAGCACATTCTGAAGGTATACATGCATACAAACATAAAACAAAAATTGAATCTTTAAGCAATTTACCATTTTAAGTTTCCCAACTTTTGAAGTTTCAACTACGAACATACCCTCGAGACGACCGCGAGTAAGCGGTTCAATTCCTTTAACTTTAGCTTTAAGGCATCTATTATGTATAACGCAAATGATAACTTGGCTCCGTAAAGTTTATTCGATTGAGCCTGTACAAATAAATTAAAACAAAAAGTGAAAAACAAATACAAGTAAACTCTTGCATGGTTGACATATGAACCATAAGATCTTAGTAAAAAATAATCCGAGGCTAAAGTGTCGACCTTGATCGACCTTGTACATTTGCAGGGTGCTTTCGGGGTTCCTTCTTTAGTCAAAGCAGTGGGTTGGATCTTGGGGCCAAACCCCAACAAAGGTAATTAATTTTCTTTCGTTAATAAAACGGAAATTATCATCATCGTGCTTTTTACAAAGGGTTGCTTGGTTTCTTCCATAAAAACACGTAACAGACACTCGCGGATTACCGTAAACTACATATATTCACCCAATTAAATTTTATACACATTTAAATTTATTTACAATAATACAAACATTTAACGGATTAAAATTCGTGTATCCCAACTAACCATTCCCGACCATTTGCCAGTGGGTATTGAAGTGTCGATCTACTATCATGCTACTCTAAATTACGATCGATCGATGATTGTGACCCAAAATATTCCACTTCAAACCATCGTATTGGGATCGAGAAGAGAATTAGTGGTATCATGAGTACCATCGTATCTTCTAAAAGACCGATACTGTAGGTAGTTGGTGATGATCCTGTTGTAGTGTGGACTGTATAAGTGGTAAAGTATGTGCGATAGTGGACCAGGTTTGTAGTGTCTGGGTGACGTTACTCCCAAACATCACCCTTATCGTTTTAATTATTTGCTTGAGCGCAGTCTATACTGAACCATTAAATCTTCTTAGCGTGAACTTCGTCAGAACTAACAACCAGCAAAGTTATGACATTCAATTAAACTTCCGGAGAAGCGTTCTTTACGTGAGTAACAACATCATAATTTTCACGCCGTTCGATCATTAATACAGCATCCACCAGTTTTCGATCCATTGGAGCGAACGAAACGCATTGTCATCGTTACCGATGGCTAGATGAAGGTTCAACATCAGCACACCACGGTCCACTGGCTGTTCTTCAGTGCAACCAACTCCTTGTAGAATAAAAAAAAAAGTTTGTGGAATGGTGTGAGGACGACACTACTCTACTCGGTACTGGCAACTACAAACTGTCCTCTCTCCGTCACCAATAACCAACAGACCGGCAAGTATGATTACGATGACGATGACGATGTCGTTAACAATGAATGGAAAGTAATTATTATTGCGCTTCCGCTGCTAGAAATGAGGAGTGGGGGTGGGGACGATACAATTGTTCGTTCGTTGACATCCTTAGTTTCCCCTGTCGTTTCAGAAGCGACAGATGCTTACATTACACTTACATTATTATTATAAAGAGTATTTTATGAACAGACCTTGAAATGAAGTAAATTCACATACGCTGAGAGTATCATAACTTTACCGGCACCACGTCTGCAAGCCCCCCAGTCCCGGGAAACTTTGATTGAAAGCCATTAAAAGCACTGCCCTCTGTTTGTAGAAGAGGTGAATGTCTCCGGTTTGCCCAGGCCTCCGCATGAAAATTGATAATAAAAGCTGATACGTGATCTTCATCCGGAAAATGTTATTAGGCACACGCCCCTTCCATCGGTTTGCTACTCGGGCGTCTGCTATTGTGAAAGGTAAAGGATACAATTTAATTTTATTGTGCACTCTAGTTCATTTTAATTTGCTCGTAAAAAGCGCTGACGTTCGTCGCTTTCGCTGTCGACCGAATATCTATCCTAATCTGACTGCTTGTCCAGGCTAAGGCTCGGTCGTCGACGTGGGTGGGATGACAGCAGCTCGTAATCATTCACTCCGATAGGAGGAAGGGAGTGTGTTGCTTTAAAGGCGGAAAGGGTGTCTTCACCCTTTCGCTGCCGAATTTGCGATGGTATTCCCTGATATGGATACATAATTATAAACACATGTTGGAATGGTGAGATTTAAAATAAAATTGCTATAATCATGACATTTTTTTTTTAAATTGCAGTTTCAAATCAAATTACTTTATTACGCTTTAAAATAAATCAGTTCACTTGGCATAACCCCGGCTTAGAGTGTTTGGTTCATCATCATATCGTCCATATGGTAGATGAAAACGTCCTTGAACAGCATGTTCTTCGTGTACCAGTAGGAGTAATCGATCTCTCGATCGAATGGGAAGCCCATCGGAAGATTGTCGATAAAGTTGTACTTACCGCACATGAAGGTCTTATCGAACACCATGTCGGTTTTGCTTTCGGTGATGGTGTATGGCGTGACGATAAAGAAGAACTGCATCTTCATTCCGCTGACCCAGCCCTTTGGCAGAATCAGGCGATCCGGGAATCCGCAGTGAGCCTCTGACATGTCAAGCATGAACTTCTCCGTGCCACTGATGGCCATCATCATTTTCTTGTACAAATCGGTATACTTGGTACGATCCTTCACGCTCCAGTAGAAGTCACGAGAGTTACGAACAATGGTATTCTTACCAACCACCAAATCTACCATGTACTGGTCAATTTCGACGAAGAACTTTCGGTAATAGTCCAACTGCATAATCTTGTCGAATTTCGGACCCATGAAGACACGAACCACACCCTTACCGGTGAACTCAGACATCATGTCCAGCGTGTAGGTGAAAGGCTTATGGTTTAGACGCATGGTGCGACCTAGCACGGAGAAATCCCAGTACTTAGCAACGTTCATCATGGGAATCACGTTCGAGATATCGGAATCGAAATATTCGAAGTAAGTCATCAGCTTGTCGATCACAACATCCTTGATGATGACACCCTTGAACGTAAGGTCCTCCATAGTGTAGTATGGCAAGTAGCTCTTGAACAGGTAATAGAAGCTCATCAGGCGATCCCACAATCTGTAGAACATTGGATCGCGCAGGGTGGTCTCGTAGTGCATCATAGCAGATGGCCACGTTTTCATTGTCATAAAGTCCATTCCACTCAAAACCATCTTGGACATCATTTCGATGAAACCGAATTTCTGGCACTCCATATTACCCATGTTGCAGTTCATCATCTTTCCGATGAAATCAATGTTCTCCCATTTGCGAAGATCAACCTTGGTTCCATCGTCCATCATGTAGAATCCATCATCGATGACCTTACGCATTCTCATTTCCCAATCCATAATCCAATCCAGCTTGAAGTAATCGTCGTCCTTGATCATAAAGTTGGCATCGCGGTACTTGAATGGAACTCCATTATAGTAGCTCAACAGCGAGAAGTAGCCAGTCTCCAGTGGGAATTTCCAAGTCAACATCTTAGTCGGGTACATCATGTTTGACATGCGCTCCAAGTTGTACCTAGCTAGCAGTTGCTGGTGCATGTACAGGTAAAGTTCACCGCTGCGTTCCTTCAGTAACCCGAATTTGTCCCCACCGATGAAGAAAGGATAGTCCATCATGAAGTAGAAGTAGTATGAGTTCAGTCCGATATCCTCGTAGAAGTAATCCATGCCCATTCCATTCATCATCAAGGTGTCCTTGAACTCGTACGGGTACGTCATAGTAAAGTTAGAGTACACTACGTTGTACTTTCCGTTTCCGTAGAATCCGAACTTGGGATCGTACATCTTACGATACGTGGCAGTACGGATGATGTCGGTGTTGAAGAAGTAGTACGGGTAGATTTCGTAGATGGCCGGCAAGACAATTCCTTGCAGGTCCATGCGGTGCATAACGGTCAGCGTGACGGCATAGATGAACATGCCTTCGTTAATGTTCTCACGAGCCCAGATGACGTTCTTGTAGTATGTATCCCAGTCAAGAGAGTTGTACAGGAAACTGAACAGCATGTAGGTCTGTTTCAGCATGTACTTATTGTTGATGGTGAAAACCTCTCCCTTTCCTAGGAAGAGGTCCATCTTGTACATGTTGAAGAACTCGGTCACTTGGTCGAAGTTCTAGAGTGAATTGTAAATCGCATTTTAGCTACGGTGAGGATCGAAACTAGGTTCTGATTCACTTACCTTGTACATGGTCATGTCCTCGACCCAGTTCTTGGTGTACGTCATGTATTCTTCATACTGCAACGGCATGTGAATGTTTCGCAGAATTTCAAAGAAAAATTTCTGCTTCATAAGGAAATCTTTGTCAGCTGAAAAATTAAACAAGTTATTCTCAGTGTCAATTGATCAATCCTTGCTCCAATGCCAAATTTAAAACTCACCATACTTCATGTCCTTTCCAACGCTTGAGACGTACGATCCGCTGGCCATGGCGGCCAGGGAAATGGCAATAGCTGCTACTAGGAGCTTCATCCTGACGGTAGTTCTTGCTGGATCAATGCTACCCAACTGATGATGCCTCTCAGCCAAAAGATCGCTTTTATATGCAAAATGTTCTTGATCTGACTGTCACGCTATCTATCTCCCGTATGGAAGAGATTCTCGGTTATCAGTAGTATGAGCAGCATACCGTTCCTATTTTGGCAGCACTCATGTTGTTGCTCAGAGCGAAAGGGACGCGGTGCGTCAATTAGCAAGCAGGTAATTATCATTCCGCAACTTTGTACGTTCACCCTGTGATAACACGGGCTACTCATACAATGTTGCAATCAGCTGTCTGTTGTGGTTGGATTCGCAGCTCAGTCGAATGGTATTTTTGCAAGCAAGAACATGATTTATTGATTTTGAATGTTTAAAATAAAAACCGTAATAAAAGTAAAGCAAAGGTGAAGGAAAATTAAAAGTGCACTTTTGCTACAGCTTTACTGTTGCTGTACGTAGACTATCTTTTGCTTTACTTTTACTTAATTTTTTCTTTACTTCTGCTTTACTCTTGCTTTACATCTGCATTAGGTAAGGTTACTTTAATAAAGAGACTTTCAGCCTGGCTGGTTCATCTCCGCTGGGATCTCCGAGGGAAGTTTGCTACACTTTTGTTTTACTTTTGCTTTGCTTATGTTTCTTTTTCTTTTACTTTTACTTTAGTTTTGGTTTACTCTTGCTTTATACTTGCATTACTTTTGCATTACTTATGCTTTACCTCTGCTTTACTTAAACATTCATTTTTTTTCATCACATTTGCTTAAATTTGCTTTCTCTTAGTTTCACTTTTGCATTACTTTTGCATTCTTTTGCTTTACATTTGCATTGCTTTTGCATTGCTTTTGCTTTACTGTTGCTTTACTTTTACTTTACTTTTGCTTGACATTTATTTTAATTTTGCTTTACATTTGCTTGACTTTAATTATTGTTGTAACATGTAAAAGTAAAACGTGAGTTAATTTTGCATTACTTTGCCATACTTTTGCTTTACCTTTGCTTTTCATTTTAAGTCTTGTATTTCCTCTCGATTTAACATTTCATTTTACTCTCAATTGACATTTTGTTTCGCTTTTCATATTACTTTAAATTTTATTTTTATTTTGCTTATAATTTTAGGTAAAATTTAAAGTAAAATCAAAAGTAAAATTTTAAGTAAAATGAAAATTTAAATGACTGTTCATAAACCATATAGACATTATAGGGACAATGCCCAAGTAATCACCAAGCCCGCTAACTACCCGATAATCGCCCTTTTTGCGATATAAGGTAAATAAAGGGCTTCTTAACTTTATATAAGCGGTAAATCAACCTTATATTGCAAAAAGGGCGATAAGCGGGCTTATTGGTTACTTGGGTTGTCTACGGTCCACATAAAATTCTTAAAAAAAGTACCATTTACTGGCTAACCTCTCCAAACGAACTACGTAGTTTATGAACAGTAGACTGATGCAAAATTTGAAATTTTCGCTCCACAGTGTTCAAACGGTTTCAAATCAGGTCTTGATTAGCCAAAAGTTTATACTCATTTAATAAGAAACTGACTTGGCACAAACCATTTGAAGTTTACATGGAAATTACTGTGGGAAAACAAAACTTTTTGTTCATTGTCTTCTAGCCTTTTTACAAATTGTACTGTTAACAAATTCTATTGCTATTTTTATGGGAATTTTTATCAGCTACAACTTTGCAGAACATCATTTTTCAGCCAATCAAATTAAATAGTTATTAATTGTTTAAGAGATTGATAAACTTATGGCAAGAATAAGCAATTGTATTGTGGGCAACACTGTATTCTGCAGTGTGACATAGTAGCCATGATTTTTGTCCTCTATTGTAAGCGCCATAAGCACCAATGTTGCCTGCTGAACAGTTGATTGAGCATAATCGTAAGACATCAGTGACTTGAATCATTAATAACTTTTGTTCCTTACATTTGATCGAAAAGTGGTCTTCAACAATTTTGAATTTTGAGATAGATATGAACCGAAATTAGAGTTTTTCCATATCAATTCCCATATAAACTTCAAATGGTTTGTGCCAAGTCAGTTTCTCACTAAATGAGCTCAAATTTTGGGAGGCTAATCAGGGTCCTATTTGGAACCGTTTGAGCACTGTGGTACGAAAATTTCAAATTTTGCATCAGTCTAGTGAACAGTTAAGGGGCTGTTGAAAGGTAAAATTAAAAGGTACATGAAAGGATTAAAGAATTAAAATAAAATTAAAGAAAACTAAAAAATAAAGCGCAAAGTTACAGGAAAGCTAAAATAGAAAGTAAAATAAAAATTTAAATGAAGAAATAAATAAGAAGTAAATATAAATAAATCGAAAATTATAGTGAAAATAAAAATTAAAGTGAAATGAATAGTAAAATTATCAGAACAATTGAAAGTAAATTGAAAAGAAATTTTAACATAAAAGAATGTAAAAGTAAAGCAAAAGTAAATCAAATGTATATCTATTTGGGCAAAATATACATGGTATTTTGTTAGCAATTTTGAGTTTATATTTCAAGAAAAAGAATCAAATATCTCAAAATTATCTTCAATTAAAAAAAAATAAATTCACAGAAAATGCAAACTTTTACAATATTCAAATCCATGGTTTCCTAGAAATTGACAAGAATCGTTGTACAAGAACTTTTGGTAAAATATTTGAACTTTTTGCTATTACGCTGTTTTTATTCAAGCAAAAAAAAAAGTAAAGCAAAAGTATGGCAATAGTAAAGCAAAAGTAATGAAAACGTGAAGCAAACGTAATGCAAAAGTAAAGCAAGAGTTAAGCAAATATACAAATCAAATTTAAAGAAAAACTAAAGTAATCCGAAAAGAATAATGAAATGCTAAATTAAAAGTAAAATAAAAAGTAAAATGAGAAACATAATTAAAAGCAAAATGAAAAAAAAAGCAAAAGTGGAGCGAAAGTAATGTAAAAGCATAATTAAAAGTATTGCAAAAGTAAAGCAAAAGTGAGGCAAAAGTAAAGCAGAAATAAATCTAAAGTAAAGCAAAATTAAAGCAAAACTAAAGCAAAAGTAGAGTGAAAGTAAAGCTAAAGTAAAACAAAAGTATAACAAAAGCAGAGCAATAGTAAACCAAAAGTAAAGAAATATTAAAGCAAGAGTATAGCAGAAGTAAAGCAAAACTAAACCAAAATTTAAGCAACAGCAAACCAAAGGTAGAGCAAAATAAAAGCAAAAAATTACCAAAAGTTAAAAAAATGTACAGCAAATTTCAAGCAAAAGTTAAACAAAAGTAAGGCAAAAGTAAAGCAAAGGTATAGCAAAAGTAAAGCAAAACTATAGCCAAAGTAAAGCAATATATAGCAAAAGTAGGACAATAGTAAAGCAAAAGTATTACAAAATTAAAGCAAAAGTAAAGCAGAAGTAAATCTAAAGTAAGCAAAATTAAAGCAAAACTAAAGCAAAAGTAGAGCGAAAGTAAAGCTAAAGTAAAACAAAAGTATAACAAAAGCAGAGCAATAGTATACTAAAAGTAAAGAAATATTAAAGCAAGAGTATAGCAGAAGTAAAGCAAAACTAAACCACCAGCAAAGAAAAAGTGAAACAAAAGTAAAGCAATAGTAAAGCAAAATAAAAACAAAAGTCAACCAGAGGCAAAGCAAAATATAAGCAAAAAATGTAACAAAAGTAAGGCAAATGTACAGCAAATTTAAAGCAAAAGTTAAACAAAAGTAAAGCAAATTTTAGTAAAAAAAAAAGCAGAAGTATAGCAAAAGTAGATCAAACGTAAGGCAATAGTAAATAAAAATTATAACAAAACTAAAGCGAAAGTAAAGCAAAACTAAAGCAAAAGTTAAGCAATATATAGAAAGGCAAGGAAATAATAAACCAAAAGTATAACAAAAGTAGAGCAAAAGAAAAGCGAAAGTAAAGCAAAAGAATGACAAAAGTAAAGCAATAGTATAGCAAAAGTAAAGAAACAGTCAAGCAAGAGTATAGCAAAAGTAAAGCAAAAGTAAAACATCAGTAACGTAAAACTGAAGCAAAAGTAAAACAAAATAAATGCAAAAATAAAGCAAAATAAAAGCAAAAATAAAGCAAATGTACAGCGTATTCAAAGCAAAAGTAAAACAAAAGTAATGAAGAAGGATTTTTTCCCTTGATTTATTTTCCGTCGATCTTGTTTTCCGTTCTGAGCAGCAATGCTTCCGACGCCAGGGAGGCAGCTCCCACACCTGGACCCTACATATCGACCCATCAACTCATGAACCGGGGACCAACGGCTTTATTTCCCTTCCTAAGGAAGGCGTGATCAGAGATGTTATGCCTCAGAACAACCCGGCGGCGCCGAGTGGGATTGAATCCAGGCCTTTTGGGGCGAGAGGTAATCAAGCTTACCACTACACCACCGGCGCCGCTTAAGAAAAAGTTTAAGCAAAATAAAAAAAAATATAACAGTAAGGCAAAAGTATAACAAAATAAAGTAATCGTAAAGAAAAAGTAAAGCAAGAGTAAAACAAAAGTAAAAGTAAAGCAAAATTAAAGCAAAAGTAAAGCTAAAGTAAAGTTAAAGTAAAACAAACTTTAGGGGGTAAATACAAGTAAAACATTTTTTTACTATCGATTTTTTATATTTTACTTTAATTTTTTTTTAAATGCTACGAGCACGAGGAAAGAGTGATCTATGGCCCAGTATTGCCGATTAACCGTAAGAACCAGAAATCATGTTTTTTACCCAACTCAAAACTTCAAACGCGTTTTTCTCGAAACGGTGTTTTCCAAATAGGCGGGAAAGATAACTCAAAAAGTTCTCATCCAAATGACTTGAAACCTGGCGCATCTTAAAGGAAATTGATTTTTACTCTATGTGAACCACTGATATCATGAAAAAGTTAACAACTAATAATTTTCAGATCTGCCTAAAGTGAAAAAAAACAGTGAAAATCAATTTTTTTTAGAGATATATTTTTCTAAATTTTTAATTCGTTTTTTTTTGGTTTTAGAGGTTTACATAGAACAAAAATCTTTTCTGAATAAGGTCCAGTTGATAAAAATAAGTTTTGTCCATTTTTCAGGTCTCTAGAAC